CATAAAACAATGCACCTCCTCTTCAGGGTTGTCTGCACAGAGTAGCTGATTTGAAAGAACTGATTTTTACTAACATAATACTTTTTCATGTGCTAACAAGCTTAGCAACTGAACTCGGTTCCCAAGTGCTGCTAAACATAACACTCAATTTGCTGCAGTATCCCTGGAAGAGTCACAAAGTTAAGCAAATATCAGAATTTCTCCATGTGTTGGGTTTTTTTGGGTTTTTTTTTTGTTTGGTTGGGTTTTTTTTGTTTTTTTTGTTTTGGTTTGGTTTGGTTTGGGTTTTTTTGGTGGGTTGTTTTAGTTTTGGTTTGTTTGGGCGTTACCAGATTTCTGAGAGAGACAGGACATGATTTATATTTAGAGTGAAGGGTTGAGCTACCCTCAGACTAGGCCTCTGGTAAGAGGCCTTGGTGAGGCCTGGAAGACTTTGACACAGTAAGAAAATAGTGTGGCACAGTTAGAAATTATGTTAAGGTGACCACAAAGTAATGAGCTATCTGAGTGTGAATTAAGAGTAAATCTACAGTGTGAGGCTCTAACCACCTTAAGGTAAAAGTAAACAATGTTTGCTGACCAATGATAGTGTGTTCACAATTTGTAAACTATATTGAAGTATATATAAACTATCATCTTATAAACAATAAACAGAGAACGTAGCTTTAACCATCTTGGCTTGATCTGCTTTTATCCAGTCCAGTTTCCCTCATACTATAAGAAGTCACTAGCTTCTTTTGGGTTGGTTTGTTTTGGTTTGGATTTTTTTTGTCTAGATGAACTAAAACCTTCTCCAAATTGATTCACATCATGAAACTTCACTCACATCTCATATCATTTGTCAATTCTTTCTTCCTAGTGAGAAGTCCTTGGACAAGCAATCATTCAATTTTTTTGGAGGAGAAGGTATCTCTTTTTTGGGAAAGAAGGGAAGAGCTTGGTAATAATTCAGGTTGTATTTGTCAACTCTCTTCCAAATGTTTATGCTCTAATCCTCCTGCACATCCTGTTCCAACACCAACATTCTATATATGAGTAGATTTTTTCAGTGCTTGAGGTTTTATTTTTAGCAAACACAAAAAGTTGTTTTCTCTTTAAAAAAAATTCATTCTTCCACACTGAAAACACGCAAAGGAAAAGACTTTGAAAATGTGTCCATTTTGATTAACTGAAAGGATTCTTATTCTCCAGGTCTTCAATTCCCTAATGTGAAGTAGTCACAAGATCAAACTCTACAGATTTTTTCTTCCCTCTCAAAAATGCAGCAGACTGAACCTAATCAGCCCTTCCATTTAGTGACAAAAAGGAAAGGTATCACAAACTGATCATGAGTATGTTAAGAAACAAAACCCAAGCAGAGATAACACTATTTTGAACAAGATCCCCTTTCCCTTCAGTTACAGAGCTTATGCTAACACCACATTTTTCATTTTAGTCTCAAATATAAAGGAACAGCTTGCTTTGGGGGAAAAAGAAATAAAATTTTTAAAAAGCACTGTTATCTCATACCACAGTAATCTTGTGTCAATTGTTCTGCTTTCCTCCCCCACTTACAGAGCCTGCTCTACCTGCAGTTGAGCCTTTTTTCTGATAATTCAGCCAATGGAAAACTGTCACCATCATTTGTCGCATACCATCTCCTATAAAGGCATGTTTTTCTTCTCCCACTTCAAAAGCAGAGTTTCAAAGACAGAAATACCTTTTGCAACCATATACTCAGTGTCACTGTGTACCACCCGTTCTGCTAAGGAATCAGGAGCATTCCCTACCATCACAAACTCCAAGGTCAGCAGCTGCTCAACACTTCAGTAAACCATAGAGAAGGAGTACAGGGGAGGCTTAGTTGATCCAGGAAGCCTCTTGGGTCGTCATGGCATGAATATGTCCATAAGATTTTAACTTTGTTTTCCTAACTAAATAACCCATATAATTTAAAAAACAAACCAAAAACCAAAACCAACAAAAGTCCACAAAAACCCTCCATCCTCATGTGTTTCTTTACATTTTTAGCCACAAAGCTGTGACAGTCTCTGTTTAATCATATTTTGAAAGCAAGGAAGCCTAAGTCTATAGCCCAAAGTAACCTGAAATGAAAATAAACCAGGAATCCAAACATCAGGCTTCATCTGATTCAATAAGCTAAATGAATTAAAAAAAAAAAAAAAAAAAAAAAAAAAAAAAAAAAAAAAAAAAAAAAGGAAAAAAAAAAAAAAAAAAAAAAAAAAAAAAAAATGCTGACATGCATAGCATACAAGCCACTGCTGGCAGGAAGTTTAAAATGGCATGAGGAATTATTTTCATCAGCTCCTCCAGAAACTGTGGGTGGAGTGGGGGGCTGAAGGTGGTCATTAGCAGTTGCCTTGAAAAGAGAGAAAATAGGAAAGTCTACACTGTGGTAACATCTCACTCAACACCTCCCCAGACACCACCTATGGCAGGATCATGGGGTTTCCTGAGACAGCTATGGTCTTTTACAGACCACCCATAGATGGATTTCTCCTCTACACAATTGCTGTATCTCCCTTTGAACACATGCAAACTGACTCCTTTTCAAAGATGCAGTGGGCAGAGGAAATGAGTCCACCCCCGGAAAGGTGACTCAGTGTTCCAGAGTGCTGAGATGGTAACAGCTCACTACAGAAAGATCCGGCTCTTCCATCCACTCCTGCACTCCAAGCACAGAGTCCCCCTTCCACCCTTCCCTTGCACCAACTGCAGTGTTTGGCTGAGCCTTGCATACACCAGAAGCTCACCCTGCTTGCCAGGTCACTTTTCCCACCCTTAGTGAGATGTATTGGGTCAGGGGAAAATCAGCAAGTGTCAGAGCTCACAGGATCAGGGTGTCTCCTCACACAGCAGAGGTGAGCAGTTAATCAGATCACTTCATCCTAAACCTTCATGTATAGAGGCATTTGCTATTAGTTCTCATCCATCAACACTGTAAGCAAGTTCCAAAGGCCACAAAAAAAATTTCTAAAAAATCTGACCACTCAGAATTACTATCTGAACTTAGATGCTTGGTTATATCCCTTCACCATTTCACTTCTCAATGTACACTGGCCATAGTGAACACTCTTCTCATGATCTCTTCATGCAGAGTACAGGATGCTCATACTCCTATCACACAGTTCAAGATACCCTCCCAGAAGAGAAAGATCCTTAATATTTAGGCTTAAATCTGATTAAGCATCTAATTGATGAATTTTGTAAGCATTTAACTTTGTAAACCTGCATTAAGAATGAACTAATATATCCTCATTGCATTGGTTATTCTTTAACCATTCCTGTTCAATAGATAAGAACTGGTAAGCCTGTTCATTTTCAGGAATAAATACACTAACTTTTATCTGGACAATCCCCAAAGTCAGTAATACACATGAAAAAATGGAAGGGAAAAATCTTTCAAATCCCCGTGCCAAAACTTTGCAATACTAATTCTTTAGAGCAGCCTTCCAGAGCAGAGTTCCCAGTCCAGAAACTGCAACACAAAAGTGCCAGGTACCACTGGAGCTGCTGTGAGCAATCCCAACTTAATGCTCCAGTGCGGGATCACATTTCTCACTGATGAGGAGCTCCTTCCCATGAGCTCAAGACAAACACTCCACAGCAACCTCTTGTCTTTTGGTTCTCATCTGGAGACTTCCTCCCTTTCTCCTGGAAGCCATCTGAGGAGCGTTTAAAGGGTTCAGCCTTAGCTAGAAGCTGAGCCCTTGATTACAGCCCACCCAGGAAGCAAGCAAGCCAAAGGAAGGGGTAACATTTTGTTACCATGGCTCAGGGAAACCAGACTGCTACAAACCAAAGCTCTGCTTTTTCCATTTAGACACCAACCAGATGTGCTGCCTGTAGCCTTCCTCACTCCAAACTGATCTGCTCCCAAAAATTGTCCTTTGTTTTCAAATCTGCTGGTGCTGAGTCCATGCACAGGGTCTTCAGTGCAAAAAGGCTTTTTCACAAGAGGTTACTCCACAGTTACACAGCCTCTGAACATAAAAGTGGTAATGTTCAAACATAACTAATTTGAGATAAATTAGCTGCATGCTACATATTAGGATGGACTAAGAAGCTAATCACTACACACTTGATGAAAGATAGGAATTTCTGCTTGATAAGTAATGTAAGCTCTCCAATATAGCCTGATTAGAGACAGGACAGACATCCAAACAGACCAAAGAGTTTTGGTTTTCCTTAAAATAGTCTTGCCCCAATAATGGCTGTCACAAGTCCTACATTTTGCCAGAAGTAGAGCAAAAAATATTTCTTTGAAAGCTTGATTTTTCCACCATGTCTATGAGTAGTGGAATTTCTGCAGCTACAGCAACAGGTAACAGACATACTGACATACACATGTAAAGTCTCTCTTCTGCCACAGAGCGCTCTGGCCTGCTCCATCACTCTCACAGGTTGCCACATGTCTTGGAGCTAAGCAATTCCTTGCTTTTGGCTTCATGTAAGACAGAAAGTGTCAAAGATTTAAAATAGACCAGAATCTTCAGAGTAGTCATCACCTTCAAAGAAACAACTGCTATAAAAGTGAAACTATTGGTTAAGCAAAAGCCAATTTGTCTCACCTGTTGTTATTATGAAGCCATAATCAGTAGTATATTTAATACGGTATCTTTATGGCATTTTGCAGTAGCCTTAAATGAGCCAGCTACAGAGACTTCCACAGACTGCAAAAACCAAAGGATTATATTTTGTTCTAATGATGATAGCTCCTGTGACCTGACAAATACTCAAAAGCTGAGTATTCTGCACACTAAGCACCGTAATCTGGAGAAAGGAATAATGGAAACTGTATGGAACCTCTTGACAAGCTAACCACCTGTCCTTTGTGGCAGCCAGGAAAATCTCTTTGGCTCTTGGTAGAATAATGAATTGGACTTTCAATACCGTGAGGGGGCAGGGGGTGTTTGGTGTGGGGCAGGGAGGCTCTGGCAGAGCACAGCCACAGGATGGTGTCACAGGACCCAACTCTGCCCCTCCTGCAGCTGGGGCTAGCAGCAGAAAGACTCAGCAGGAGCCTTCCACACCACTGGTCTCCTCCCCCAGAAAAACCCTGCTTTGAGGTCTCAGGTGGCCAACACAAAGGTGAGTAAAACCAGCTACTAAAAAGGACTAAAAGCCTGTTTAACCCTTTGGAAGTACTGTTATGCTTGGACTTGTGATGATCCTGCCTCCTGCTGCAGATGAAGCCCGTGCTGTGCATTTTTGTTTGGAGTAGGATTATCAAAATTTGCACAGCAAGGTGGAAGCAGAACTAAGATATCCTAGATAAAGGTCCAAAGAGGACTATGCTGCTTCATTTTGTCTGTGAGTTTATCTACACTCTAAGGGAACATGCTTAATGAACAGTTCAAATAATAAAATTCCCTTTTTTTCTTTCCTACCACTTCAGAGCACTAAGGTCTCTTTACAAACAGGAAAACACCTTTTTTTAGATGTCTCAGGGGGGAAGAAAGACACACAAAGCACCATGAAGATCACTATGAAATTTGAGTTATAATATAAAGCAAAGTGCCAGTCTTTCCACACTTAAAAAAACAGTTATGAAATCACTGTTCTTCAGTGTTACAGGAAAGGCTCTGCTCCTGCTAAATTCAGGAAAGAATTCAAACTTCAGAAGGATTAACAGGGGCATGAGGGAAGCAAACAAAATGTTATTAACTTGCCTCCTCTGATGGCACCAGTCTAATGGCAGAGGCCAACGTTTGTTTTTTACTTCCCTTTCTCCTTCCAGCTAACAAGCTTAATTTATTAACTGTGCCAAGTGAAAGAATTGTTGCTTTATTAATGAATTTTCAAAAAATGCATGAAAAAATGTTTTTCAGCTTCCCTGGCAGTCACTGTGTAGACTGCGCAGCTGGAGAATTAGACTTTACCAATTTTTTTGCCAAATATTTTATACAACATTTTTTACAGTGCATATTAAATGGCATAATTGTTAAAGCTGGTAATTGGTTGTTTTTTTCCTCAGCTCCTTTCCTCAAATTTAATAATGGATGTGGGTTTTGGCACGGATTGGATACACACTAAGAAGAAACCATGACTGTGAATGCTTTGAAGTAGTACAGAAAGTACTCTCCTGTCAATGACAAACTTGAGGAAAATTTTAAGTACTCCTACATAGTGTCTGAAATGTTCTCAAAATAAAAAAAAAAACTCTTCTGGCAATTCCAAAAGTCTGATTTTAAAATGCTAATTTACTTATCAAAAAGAATAAAATGCAAGCATGCACTTGAAAAACTCAAATGTTTGCCACCTAAAACTTTTACTGACAGAAGACACTGCTGAAAGAACTTAAAACACTTGTGCAGTGTAAAACTGACAATGGTTAAAGCAAATTGCTACCTAATCTGCCTCCACAACTGCCAAGATAACACCTGTAACACAGACACTCAGTCTGAAAGGAGCTCAGTCAATATTACAGCAACATGAAAATTAGTTTCACTTGTACTTTCATTAGTCTAACATAATGTATTTTCTACAAAGATACTGCCACCATGAGTCAGGTCAGACATAAATCCCATTCAGCTTCTCATATTCAGAATTTATTCACTTAATATGGCTGTATATCTTGAACTATCAAACTTCTGTGCAAAACAAGAGATTATAAAGTAAGAGTCTATTAATTTCAATAAAATCTGAATAGTTAAAAGGAGGCATATTTAAGAGAAACACATTTGTGACATCCTAAAGTATTACTTGCTGAACATCTTAGAAGAATATTACAGCACTTTGCTAATGTCTGATTTTACTAACACAGTATTGCACGAACAGGTAGGCAGCCACAATTCCACCTTCAAAACATCACCCAGGTTATAACCTGTCATTTGGAGCTGCTACAACTGAAATAAGCATTTAGCAACTTAATATCATTTTAATGCACTGAACAGAAGCTACAAGAATTCTGCTATTCAGTGTTCCCCCAGGTCTGAATACTGAATACAAGCCAAGAAGTCACATACAATTTTAAATCTGATTTTACATGGCAGTATATGTCAGAAAGGCTTCACTGCTATACAAATCTTGTGCTAAATTCCAGTTTTAGTTACCTTCTCAGTTAAGCACAAGCTCAGAAGACAGAACAAAGCCACAACAACCTCTGCTGATTAAGCTTAACAGCTACACTAACACCTGGGTTTGGAGAAAGGAGAGAAGAACCAGGGAGCCCTATAAACTGTACGCAGGGCTTAAATTAAAATAACCTCTGACTCCACAACTATGTGGGTTAGCTGAAGCTACTTCTTTGTTTGATGGCTGAGACAGTGAAGAGACACTGTTAAATTCAATAAAATACAGACACTTCAAGGCAAGAAACAGAGAAAACAAGAAAGATAGAGGACTAAGGTCAAATCCAAAAGTTAATCCCAAAAGTTAATTTTCCAAGGGGAGGAAAGTGTAAGGGCATCCAAGTGATCTAAAGTTACAGTGGTATTGAAACAGAACACTGAAAAAGAACAGTTATTTCCTTTTCAATAGGCAATATGTCCTGACATTATTTTTCTTTTTTTCCTCCATTATTTTAAATGTAAAAACCAGGCAAGGTAAGGGTGTGAACAAACAAACCTTTACAAAAATACACCAAACTACAACAAAAACCCACTACATAATAGGACTATAATTATTTCAGTAAAAATAACTCCCAATTGTATGCAGAGAACTCAGGGTGGGCTGAGGACTGGAAAGGTACAGAAGGGTGGCACAAAACACCCCGTGCTCACCTCTATCTCTCTGAGTTTGGCACGCTTTTCTTCACTCATTTCTGAGTATTTGACTGATGACTTGGACTCAGGCATGTCCTCTTTAATAGGATTGGAATACATGTGTTGTTCTTCTGACTTGGAACTCTGTGTGTCTTCTTCATCTTCACTTTCTTCTTCTTGACTTTACAGAAAACATACAGAATTAACTAAGATGTCACAGATGTCTTAAGTATATATGAAATTCACTATTTCTCTTACTTAGTTTTTAGGATTAGTTACTAGTTTTGAAATCTGTTAGGTTAAATTACATAAGTCTGCAGCTAAAAATCAGTCTCCCTCTGTGAGATAGATCTTTCTCATTTATTAAACTGTTAGTTTTATTACTCACACAATTTACACTTATCAAAGAAACAGAGTACAGAAGAATTCATTACATTTACAGTTATCAAATACATATCTATCTCAGCTACCAAAGGAAACCCACTCCCTCAGCAGAAGCTCTAAGTGCTGTAATGGTATATTAATAGAAGAACAATATTTACTACATTTGCTTTTGGGAGATAAACCTGAGAGATGGCAGATACCCAAAATTATATTCCCAGACTGGCCACTAGAGTGCTGCAGGACTCCATGCAATGTAGGGAGTATTTACAGCATTAACTAACAGACCCTCTCACCTGTCTGAAGAGCAAAGTAAAAGACAACTCAAAACCAGCTTCTGCTGGCATGAGCCTATCAGCATCCAATGAAACACCTCAGAACATGACTCACTGTGCTCATCTCAGCAGCAGAAGGCAGAAGTTTTAGATTCATTCATATATACCTGACAGCAAGATTTCCATTCTACTACCTTAGCTCTTACTATTTGATGCTGAATTCTCAAATCAGCATAAATTCAAATATTGTAGTCAACACCTCTACCAAAATATGTAATTTATCATGTTAGAAAAAATCATGAGGGCTGAAAGCATGCTGCACTAAAATCTTGAGTTTTCTCCATTTTCTTATTTTCCTACTTTCAAAATTTCTTTTTTGCTCTACTCATGTAGTAAATAACATATATATCTTATAAGGAGTTCCAAAGACAGACACTCAACCTTAGATACATAAAATACGTTTTAATTAGAATTAAAAAGTATTTACTTTTGAATTTCCTCCTCCTCAGATTCTTCATGTTGGTCAAAAAGCTCCCACTTAGAAGTAGTAACCGCTAGAAGAGACAGTAGGATAATTTTAACAATAAAAAAGCTACCATTTAATCTGAAAATTAGTATTTGTAATATAATTATACTAAGATACATATATATATATATAGTATATAACATATAATAAGAATTACAGTGTGGTAAAATTTACCAGCATCTAACACTCAATACAGACTTTCTATTTCACAAAATACTCAACCAGCCCATTATCAGAATATTTACTATTCACAGAGCTATTCACTCACACTGCCTATCATACTGCAGTAACTCCTTCAAAAGCAGACAAGCATTTGTCAGTTTGTGAAATATTATATTTTAAACCAAGATTTAAAAAGACTGCCAGACACATACCCAGATTTATTTTAGTTTGTTTTTAGTATTTATTCTTAATAAAGTGGAAATTACTCTTAAAGGCTGATAGGTTATTGAAGTACGATAAGCATAATGGAACACATTATTTTCCTTTTTGGTTAAAAATTCAGTTTGGTTAAAAATTCAGAAAATCCTGCTATGTTACAATAGTAATCCTATTAGCATTTTATCACAGATCAGCTGAAAAAAATCATTACCTAAGTGACATTATTCTTTGAGTTTACTTCAGAAAAGATACTTTCAGAACCAACCTTGAGCTTCCAGTTCCGATTCATCCACTGCTTCCCACTTTGAAGGGGCAACTTTAAATATAGGCTCATTCTTTTTTGAGTCTTCAGTTGTATCCACTGGTGAAAAAAGACACACAGAAAACTTAGAAAGCATTCAGAAGCTGAAACCAAAAAGTACTAAGATAACAGAATTAAACAATGAAAGAGATTACACAATCTTAGTATTTGCAAAGTAAAGAAAACAGGGTTTAGATCCTGATGTGTAACATCAGAAAACACCTCGTGTGTTTCTAAAGCAATTACTATCTAAAGACAGTAGAGCATATTGAAATTAATCAACGCTTTACAAAGCTACATGCCAGATCAATTCTAGGCTGTATTTCTAAAAACCGTGCAGGAAGAAAAGATCCAAGACTGAAGAATCAATCTGAAAGTTGAAATATTTCGTACAAGGAACTCCATCAAGATCATCATCCAGTGATTTAATTGGTACTCCATCCAGATCATCAATAGGAGCAGCATCAATAGGAATTCCATCCACATCTTCTAGTGGAGCACCATCGAGCTCTTCCTCAATGGGAGCACCATCAAGATCATCTGGTACTTCCTGAAAGCAAATAATATGTCATTATTTCAAGTACAAATCTACATTGCTTTTTTTTACTTTTCCAACTATCAAATAATTTATTTTTAAAGAAGCACTTTTATAAATACCAAAATATCTACTTCAACAATTTTTGCTATGAAGTATAGTTGTTTATTGTAGAGGAAATAACACAACAATATCTTCCTATCAGAAATTATAGGCAAGAACTTGGAATTTGTCCACAAATTATTGGAAGCTTTCCAATACCTATATTCAAAAGAAGAGCTATTAAGTTGAGGTTTATCTCAAAGTCAATTAGAGTCAGATAAATCATACTTCCCCGATAAGAAATTTTCCCCAAGACCAGTAAAATGAACAACTGACACAAACAGACTATTTAGCAGGAACACCAATTTAAGGAAATCACAAATTATAAATACAGCTGTGTATTCTATATTGTTAGGTACAGGTGCTGTCCCTTCATATGTGTGTGTTCACCCTGCTTTTCCACTCCAAGAAATCAGCTTTAGTTAAATTATACTGCAGGCTTCCCTCCCACTGCTCTGAAAGGCATCTTTCCTCACAGTGACAATGCCTGAAACTCCACTCAGAATTCAGAGACAGGTATTACAGAGTATTTCCAGCACAAAGGTAATACCTGTCATTCTGTACTAATCTTTGCTCTGAAACAGTTTCACAGTGTAACTCACCACAGCACCTAATATACAGGCAAGAAATACATGAACACAGTAAACAGTATTTGCTTTTGAAAATATGTTACACCTCTATTTAGGAGCAAAGGACTTGGAAGAAAGAAAGGTTTATTCACCATAAAAGAGAGCAAAATAATCCTTGCCAGCTCTATTTTATATTAACACATTTTTCCCTGCTGTCTGCGAGCATCACTCCTGAAGTCACTTACCTCTGTTTCTTTATCTTCCATGATATTTACAAGTCCCAAGAAAATATTCTGTAGTTTGATCAGAAATGGTTCTGGATAGATTGCCCAGTCTTCCCATGCTCGGAAGCATGTCATCACCCGTTGCTAGAAGCAAGAGGAAAAAATAAATGCTAA